ATAAAATTACTATAGTAGCTGGTGAGGCCTAGAAAGCTGCGAAGCTGCTTGGCAGATGTGGGGACGGGCCACTCTGCAATAGCAGTGATCTTCGCATCGTCCATGTGGAGACCCTGGTCAGACACATGGTGTCCTAGGAAGTCCACTTTGCGYTGGGCAAAGCGGCACTTACTGAGCTTGGCATAGAAGCCATGCTTGCGTAAGCGCTGTAGGACATCGCGGAGGTGTCTGATATGGTCTTCTAAGGTACGACTGTAGACCWGGATGTCGTCCAGGTATACGAGAACGTATTCTTCAAGGATGTCCCTGAAGATGTCGTTCATCGCCGTTTGGAAGGTGGCGGGTGCATTGGTGAGGCCGAATGGCATCACTGTGAACTCGTAGTGGCCGAAGCGCGACCGAAAGGCGGTCTTCGGCTGGTCCTCTGCGGCAACGCGGATCTGGTGGTAACCGCTACGAAGATCGATCTTCGTGAAGAAGCGGTTGCCTGACAGACGGTCAAACAACTCATCCGCACGGGGCATGGGATAGTTGTTCTTAACCGTGTAACGGTTAAGGCCGTGATAATCGATGCAGAGGCGGAGAGTTCCGTCCGCTTTGCGAGCAAAGAGGACAGGTGCACCCCAAAAGGAGTTACTAGGTTTAATGAAACCAAGTCGAAGGAGCTCCTCAAGTTGACGCTTGAGTTTCGTCGCCTCTGGAATCGAGAGTCGGTATGGTGCCTGATGGTGAACACGATAGTCAGACACGAGCTGGATGGAATGCTCGACACCGCGCATCGGAGGAATCCCACTGTATGAGAAATACGAGGGGAAGACGTCTCGGTACTCCCGAATCAGGTCGCGAATGACGGGCTCTAAGTCAGCCGTGAACCGCATGAGTTCCTCAACGTCTGCGTCGACACGAGACGTATGGGTGGACTCGGCAGTGGACGGCGTAGGAACCTGGGATGTCGAGGGGGTATCCGCAGGCTGCTGGGTGGATGTAGAGATGGGAGCCGCGAAGATGGAGGAAGGGTCAGGGGGATCGGGCTCCAATGAGATGAGCTCAACCTCGGGACAGAGTGGATCGTAGCGAAGAAGATCCATGACGTTCACTGAGTAGAGCGTGACGTCCTCCTGTCGGATGAAGTGAGCAAAYTGACGGGGAGAAGTGAAGGAGATGTCYGGGTGGGACCCAGAAGGACGAGGGTCCTRGGGAGGTAGGTTTGGARGGGTGTCGCCCGTGGTTCCAATGAAGGGGACTCGATGGGTTTGACCACACTTCGTTTTGAGAATGAGTGTCTCAAACACCCATTCGGCCTCTGTGCTACGRAACCGGCGAGACCAGGGAGTGTCAAGGATAAAGTCGTACCCAGTCTCTAGCACGTCGAAGTAGGCGGAGGAATGGTAGCGCCGAGGCGCCTGGGTACTATCCGGTGGCTGGAGGGTGAGGGAGAAGTGGAGGTCGAGGACCGTCTGATCGAAGAAGCGCTGCATCTTATTATCTACGAGGGTAACTGAGATAGGAGAGCGAGACCCAGAGGTAGCTAGGCGAGTTTCCTCAACCACTCGAGGGTAAACGAAATCTCCCTGCGAGCCAGAGTCCCATAAAGCGCGGTACACCCTCGTAGATGTCCCTAGGCGAATAGGGATGATGGGTGGGGTGCGATCAGGGTCAGAGAGCAAGGCGAGGAGACGACGCAGGACGTTGATGTGTCTCGTGAGGCGCTCCTGACGAGCCTGCAGAATAATCAAGTCCAGGAGAGACGACACAACGTCATCGCGAGTCGCGAGCTGAGCGCCACAACGGGTTGTGCGAATGGCGCGACGCGTCAGAAGTCTCAAGCGAGAAGCGCTAGACACGGCAGTCTGCTGGGAGGCAGACGGTACCTCGATAGACGATGGGGCGGAGAGAACTGCGTCTATCGTGTCCTGAGGGTCCTCTGGTGGGGTAGCCAAAGGGGCAAACCGCGACTCGGTGGTCGGAAGCCGGCTACGTGCGAGGCCTCAGGGGCACAGTGCACCGTGGCTAGGTGGATGGGGCTGGCCGGGCGGGGCGGGGGGGGACTGAGATCGACGCTGACGAGAGATGTCAGCGTAGTGCCGATCGAGGGCGGTATGGTATGGACACCGTGAGGAGGTGTGTCCATCTAGGCGGCAACGAAGGCAGCCGCGCCGGGCCTCGAGGGCGGCACACTCCTCAGGGGATAGAGCTCTGCGAGGAGGGACATAACCCTGCGGGAGGTCTATCTGAGAAACCGTGGGTGTGCGGGCGCCAGCCTGTGCAACCCGACTACGAGCACGACCCATGGCAGACATGGCCATCAGCAAGCGCTCGGCCACCGGAACAGTGTCGTCATCCAAGTGATACTGGATGACGTCTCGTAGCTCGATGTCCTCGAGGGCGTCCCCAAGGGTAGGGTCAAACTCGGCCGAGGCGTCCTCGCCGTACTCCAGAGAACTGTAGCGCTGAGAGAATGACGCTCCAGGGCAGGTCGGGCGACGAAAACGACCAGCAAACGAGGAGCGACCTCGGGTGGTACCCCGAGACTGAGAGGTGGCGGCTGGCCGCGAAGAGGATGTGGCGACGGAGAAGCGACTGCACATCCTCTGGTACTGACGTGCAGCCTCGTATGCCTGCTCCGCGGAAGAGAATGATCACCTCCATAGCTTTAGACGATAGTCAGTCGGCAGGCTGACAAGGAACCGGTCGGTGAGTGTGACCTCCGGTAGGAACGTCTCGTCACAAACAAAGCGAGCGTCCTGAAACACCCGGATGTGACGTTCCAGGTCGGCCGGTACAGAGGACCCGGACCATCTGGTCTGGGTGACGCGGTCTAAGGCGTCGGTGGCGTCATGACGAGCGCC